GGTTTCAATTTTCCAGCACCTACAATGCAGCTTTACACCTAACTGCAAAACAGCTTCAGTCTAGGTCATACCCTCCTGAATCTAATCAAAACAGCCATCCCCACACAATAGAGCCTAATGACTCCAATGATTCCTCAGGGGGTAGGGAGGAGGCGTAGTTTCAGCTTGTTAAGCAACAATAAGCTTGAATCTTACATTATTTAGTCAGAAATGACAAAGCTCCTCGAATGAGAAGTGAAACGTCTTCAAGAAACCAAAGAAGTTCATTTGCCTTTATTCTAACCACCTTTGGATTGCCACAACCTGGATGACTGGGAACCTTCACCAGCAAATAGTAGAATAATATGTGAATATCCATGTGATGAGGACACTGTAAAAGTTCATTTTATAGCATTTGCATCAACTGCTATGATGTTTTTGAGATTCGTGTAGTTTTGCTATGGTTTCTTATTTTTCTAATGAATTAATTCAAAGAGCTACATGTAACAGATGAGATAGCATTTTTAAGTATGTAGAGGATTAAGTATGGCTGGAGCAAACTGATCCTCAGTACGTTATCCTTTACATTCGATGTCCCATGGGCTGTCGGAGCACCTGATGTCCTCTGGATGATGTGAGATGTGCTCTTCTATTACTAAAGTTTTAAGTATGTTTGTGCCTAGTAATTTGTCAGATGGCAGTTTTTGTTTATTTTGAAGGGATATAATAACAAAATCATATTTAAATTGGAAAACATTTAGGTTGGTGCTTCAGATTGTCACCAAATAGGAGATGAGTTTAAAATCTATTGAACGGAGAAGTAGAATGTTAATCTGGCCACCTGTTCTTCTGTGTGTGTGTGTGTGTGTGTGTGTGTGTGTGTGTGTGTGTGTGTGTGTGTGTGTGTGTGTGTGTGTGTGTGTGTGTGTGTGTGTGTGTGTGTGTGTGTGTGTGTGTGTGTGTGTGTGTGTGTGTGTGTGTGTCTAAGACAAGTGTTCAGGTGCCTGCTAATAAAGGCTTAATGAAGTGCGTTGGAGATGTGGAAGCTGGATGGAGTCGTCTCCGCTCACAGATGTGAAGCTTAATGAGGAAGAGTGCTCTGTGTTCAGGCGACAGGCCAAAGCACAATAAGGCCAACTGGACTTTCTAAGTTCTGCAGAAGACGAGTGTGTGTGTTGTAGGATGTGATTCATAAAGCAGTTAGCTGCTCACCTTTGGGTATAATGCAAGTTTTTTATTACCATAACACATACAATGTCTTTGCAAGTGAGTTATAAATATATTTTAAATGAATAAAATCTGCTTTTAATTAAGCTGTTCTGCTTATTACCAGAAGGGGCACAGCCTGATTTACAGGTTTACAATGGGGTGTTAATCAACAGCTAATCTTGCAATAAGAAGGCTGTTTTAGAGTTAAGTCTTCTCACTAAGCCTCATTTTTCTTATTTTAATTAACAACATGGAGGAAAGAGGAGTAAGCCAGCTGCAGGCTCTGAGGCGTTTCGACAGCGCATCATCCCTCGCTGAGACCTGGTTAGCATTAGTCTCTTTGCAGGGAGCCCCTCTCAGAGCCATCACGGGCTCCTTCTTAAAAACACACCTCAGCCCAAGGTGACAAAGTGGCATATTTTAGCGCTGCAGATAAAACTCATTAGTTTGTGAATTAGCCTCGATTAGCCCAACTATTCCCCCTCGGTACACTGCGCCGGTGCTAATTCTACTTTTATAACTGTCTTATTTTAGAGACCCCATGTTCTCAGTTTTATTCACCTGTTTTTTTCTTCTTTGCACTTCTTTAGGTTTTTACTTTAACAGCAGTTGCACAGTGATGCTCTCTCAGTGCAAAGACTAAATATATCAGCTCAGCATGAGGAGGAGGTCAAACTAATGCAACTTGAATAAAGTGCACAAATGATAACTAAATAAATGCTAAATCTGTAATAAGTGAGTGACAATTAGACAGGGAAGTTACAGGTATTGCACTACTTGATGGAAAATTTCCACTGTGTTATCTGGTGGTTCTTGAAGTGTGAATGATGGAAAGCTGCTATCAATGTTTAAAATTGAGTTAGGGACATTTTTGTTTGCTAAAATTGATTAGCTAAGACAACCATTTTTAATGGTAACTAAATGCTTCTGTAATTGTTACCTTTTGGATAGTTTTCTAAAAATCCATCCAGTGGTTTGAGATATTTTGCCAATAAATGCGTGCAAACATTAAGACTTGGGCAAAAACATGGAGGAATGGCCAAACATCTGAGTTCATCATTTAATAAACCCAAGCTTTGTTTGTTCTTTTGTAAAGATTTATATGATAAATCAGTCTGAAGGCAGGTGACTTCCTCACAGTAGCTGGTAAATACAGAATATGCTAGAAATGCCAATGACTTAAAGTGGCAGTGTGTAGTTTCCTGGCGATAGGGGGCAGTACATACGTATCAGGGTAGTTTTACACCATATCCCCTTGACTGTCGCTAGTTTAAAACAACCGTACGGTAAATGTTGTTACCTGTGGTGCAGAAAGCGTGAGACCTCGGGGTGACTCCTCAGACATGGATGGTCCTACAGTTAATTCCGTTGAGAGAATCCAATGCTGATTGTAGTTTTATGGCTCGGTTGTTTCCAGATCCGCTCAGGGTCCTCCGCCTGCCGATGACGTCATCTTCAGTCAACTGTTCATGCTTTTGTAACGTCACATCTGGACTATGCCAATTCTCTTTTATATGGTATTCCCTCCTCTTCAGTGGTACGCTCCAACTGGTACAGAATGCTGCCACAACGTTTTTTACGGGCATAGACCGACGGCAGCATATCAGCCCTGTTTTGGCAAATTTACACTGGCTTCCAGTTCGGTTTCGTGTTAAGTTCAAAATTCTCCTGTTGGTTTACAAATCTATTAATGAAATGGCCCCCTCCTATTTGGCACATCTTTGGAGTCCCCATATTCCAGCGCGGACTCTGAGGTCCTTGGACCAGCACCTTCTGCTTGTCCCTCCTGCCCGCTATATGGCCCGTGGCGAACGGGCTTTTTCAGTTTGTCCACCTAAACTTTGGAACCAACTCCCCCTGACAATCTGACTTGCCCCCTCCCTTCCCGCTTTTAAAGTACGTTTGAAGACATATTTCTTTTCCCTGGCCTTCCTGGCTGAGAATGTTTAACCCTTGTGCTTTCATGTTTTTTATTTATGTTTTTTACTAGTTTTTATTTGTTTTATCTATTTTGGAGATTTATTGTCTTGTACAGCACTTTAGTTGGCATTGTCGCCTTTTAAATGTGCTTTATAAATAAAGGTTGATGATGATGATGATGATGATGATCATACTACAGCAAGTAAAAGGCTCGTTATATATTTATATTGAAACTAATCTGTATAAAATATAACGTTATATCCCGTGTCACGTGACGTTATGTGACCGCCGTGGAAGCCGCAGTCACGTGATGCAAGTCTGTTACATTTAACCGTTTTCTTTGACCAAGAAAGGACAGTGTCCTCGTAAGCAAGGCGCCTGGCCTCGCAAGACATTGCCTCGCAAGGCCAGGCGCCTTGACATGGAGAAACACCCAATGCTTGCTTGCAATGATATAGGTACTGCCCCCTTTCGCCAGGGAAAATACACACTGTCACTTTAAAGGACACAAAGCTCCTTTTTTAAAATGTTTGTGCATACCCAAGTGGTTGTATTTGTGGTGTCTTTGCAGAATCATCATCATCACCAAAGTTATTTATACAGCACTTTCCATCAACCAGGAGATGCCCCAAAGTGCTGCACACACAAAAAGAAAAAAAAAATTAAGTGTATTCAGGGAGTTTAACACAAACACTAAACCATAGGTTTTTAAACCACAGATTAAAATGCATTTAAACAATGTTTCTCAGAATGTGTAGATACATTTAAATTCAGAATTTGATTAGCTTCATCAAGGCTTGCAGGTTGCACACGGACGCTCTTATGTTTTTGTCAGACACAATATGTTGCTTTAAAAAAGAGCGAGAATAAGCATGTCGTTGGTTGTCATGAAGGATGCGTTGGATTACAACAGCAACCCGCACTGACTGACGCCTCCAATGACAGAAGCTTTTCTGAAATAACAATATTGTAGCTGTATGAGTAAAGAAGCTGATTCAGCGCCCAGTTAGGCAAACAGCTTTGTAGGAGTTTAACAGGAACACAGCTGACAGATGAGAGTTTGACTCCAGTTCACATGACTTTTCATGAAACACAGCCACAGTGAGTGTGACATAAAAGCAACTTGAAGGCTGTCACACGGTGCAGTGAAATTCACTTTGACGGGATGGAGTCGAGTCAGAAAAGCCTCTAAACTCACGCGGGTCTTTGATCTTCATCATAGTCAGGAAAAGTTAAACATCGAGGGTGGACAAGACGTGTGGAGGAGAAGGCTGAGCAGATAACAGCGAGGGGAGCAGGGTACTCGGGATTTTCCGGTGACTTCTGTCAGACGGGGGTTGTGCTGATGTCCTGCGTCAGCTCTACACGCTGACAACGGCATCTGGAGATGCTGACAGAAGTCTGAACTGATCAGCTTGATTATGGTCAAAAATAGTAGTCACTGGTCTGAAAGTGCACGGGAAAATGTTTGTCAGCTGCTCGGTAAGCATGAAGACATGAACACTGAAACCCTTGGGTTTAAATTCCTGATTTTTGTGTTTGTCTCTACATAAAAATGCTTCTGTGGGTGAAAAAGGAGAATTTAATGTAGATCTGTGGGAATTTGGATTCCTTTTCTGGTACAGACTGTACCGTGTGTGTGAAAATTTCTTTTTCATGACAGGTAATTGTTACATATTGCAAAAAAATAAGTGTTTTCATCCATTATAGAAAGTGCTAATTTAATTGATTTACTGTATTTATGACCCTAACATGAAGTAACCTTAAGAAAATCTGTTGACAGGCAATCAAAAAAGCATGCTAGCAGTTTTATTACTATAACCGTTCTGATTTTGTGATAATTACATTTTTTCTCTCCCTCTCTCCTTCTCTATCCTTTTGTTTTCTTCCAGGTGGAGCGAGAAATAGCTATTCTGAAGCTCATAGAACACCCACACGTTTTAAAGCTGCACGACGTCTACGAAAATAAAAAATACTTGTAAGTACTGGCAGCTGATTATGCTGTAGTGTTGGAAGGTCTGGCTTTAAATGAGCTTGCTATGTTTATTTTTTTAGTATTTTAAATGCATCAGATCAGTTTGAGTCCAGGGCACTGATCATCTCAGATGGGGTGGATGCTCCATCAGGACTGGCATCGAGCATTTATCTGGCTACATGCGCTATGGGACTGCTAATAGCGAAAGGACGTCCCTGTGATATAAATGCCATGACATGCTTATCAGCAGAAACACCGTTACATCAGCCATGGGGATTCTGCAGCAGAAGCAGCTGTGTTTACACACAGATGCTAAATCTATTAACTAACTTTAACAGTTGCTGAGTGACAGCCCCATCCGTCGTTTAGTAGACCTCTTGATCTACGGAGAATCGGTTGTCGGCTAAATTCGTTAAATTCTCATCTGGAGCTAAAGGTCCAAACTGAGACTGGGCATGTCATCCTTTTTAAGATGGTAGGAAAAGCATAATATTGGGATTCGTTCAGTAATTGGATTATTAAAATCGTATTTTGCGCCCATTACTTCATCACTTTTGACAGGCGGTCACCAGCTGCGTCACAGAAGACAAATCTCTTTACATTAGCATGATTCAAGAGACTGGAACGCACCCAGATCAGTAATGTGGTTTTTACTCTTCATACGGTTCATACTTTAACTTTGATATCTCAAATTGTAGGACAATAATGGACTTAGTATCAGCATGTTTGGATGTAGCCGTCACCGCTCTGGAAAGATTTATCTCTTTGCTGGTAGAGATCCCACCACAGGCTGGTTAAACTAATGTTCTGTGTATGTACAAGAGATGGAGGCTATGTGATATGTAGCCCGCCAATAATTTATTTATAAGGAATGAACGCTCATAATGTGATATGAATTATGCCTTTGAAATTTACTAATGACCACAGGATGTTGCTGTGAAATACCATCATTTATATCAGTACTTGTGATTTACATGAGTGTGACTACCAGATAAACCCAGAGTTTTGCTGCTGTAGGTCTCTAATAATAAAAAGTGGGGAAAACAATGCTAGGATTTATCCTATTTAGCTGTTCTCTAACATGTTTGAAAGTTATAGCCACAAATGGATTGGCCTGGCCTGCCAGACTCCTCCTCTGTTTAATTCTGCACAGAGAAAGGGTCTGGGAACTTAACAACCACACCCCCTGAGAATTCTAACAGAGCCAATCAGCGCTGAGTAGCGTACGTCACACACAATAACGCCGAGTATGGCGAACATGGCGACTGAAGCGAAGTTCGCTGCGGCTCCTTCCTCTGTTCTAAAGGACTTGGACACGTATTTAAAACAACAACAAGTAGAATCACTAAAGCCTTTCTTGTAAAGAAAGATGTTTGCCCTGTCATCAGACGCCATTTTTGACTACAGCGAAAAAACTACAGCGTTGCGGACGTCACACACAGCGACGCTGAGTTTTTCATAAACAACAAAGAGAGTGGCGGAGTTCGCTGCGGCTCTGTCCTCTGTTCTAAATGACTTGAAAGTCTTTAAAACCACTACAAGAAGTGCTAAAAACATGTCTTCTTAAAAAAAAAGATGTTTGCGCCATTGCCAGACGCCTTTTTTTTTTTTACTACGGCTAGAAATTCACAGCGTCACGCAGTACAGTCAGCATTTCTGTCTGGTTTCTGATTGGTTTATTTTTGAGCTGCCTAGTCCCGCCCCCATGTGCCTCTCTGCCTACCAGACTCTTTCTCTGTGCAGAATAAACAGAGGACGAGTCTGGCAGGCCAGGCTGACAAATGGAAGATGATAGAAACAAATCTCTGGTAATTAACAAAAAAGGTTGCTAATAGCTTCTGGCTGTAACATTTAGTGCGAGTTTACATAGGGAGGAACAATTACAGGAAATGCAAAATCTGTTGAAAAGAATCGGTTTAAAGTTGGAGACAGTTTCAGACATATTAATGTTGCTTTGCTTGAAGCTTTAGTGGTTTGAGGCTTAGTAATGTCATCGGGAGAGGGAGAATGTTAAGTGGTTAGCAGCAGTGTGCTAGCCAATGGCCAGCAGAACACCATTGTAGCTTCTTTTGGGAAGAAAAAGACTTGGAGAGAAAAAAAGTTAACAGTTGAAGGTATATCTGTACCGTTTCTAAAGACTTTTTAAATAATGAGTAAAGCCCAATCTAAGATCCATCCCAGACACTTCCTGCTCCTCAAATCTACTCCAGACAGAAGTTTATTGTGGATTGGAAGCTGCTCAGATGATCCTACATTGAAGTTAAAAAATGATCCTGCACAACCATAATAAAGGACTTTTGCCATCGTCTTTCAAGAAAAACTACCTGTTAAATGTTCACTTCTTTGTAAACGCTTTCATCACAGAAACGCCTACATACAAGCTGTCAACTGCAATGCTACCGATAAGAGAGGTGCCCATTTTCATTTGAGGATTCAGACCAGTCATAAATAAACAGATCTTCATCAAATTAAATGTTTATGCACTAGAAACATTCCAGGAACTACAATTCAAAACCAGTTTTACACAAAATCCTGTTAAATCAGCCCTCAGCTCGTTTCTCCACGTTATGTTTGCAGTCGCCCTGGCTTGGTTCGTAGTAGTTACCGGTGATTTACTGCAACTACTTTCTTTTTGCAGATATCTACTTTGTGACTACGGTGGTTCGTAACTCCACGCGTTAATTTGTAAAGCTTAACTGTGGATTCACGTTTCCAGAAAGAGTAGGAGGGAAAGGTGTTTTACAACCTCCCTGGATTTCAATTTGTCCTTGTTAGGGGTGAAGTCGTTTTGGTGGAGGAAATATGAGCAGAGCAGAGGCAGGGCCATGCTGGATTTCACCCCACAGATATGGCTTTGTTCTTGGGTCAGTGGAGATTTATTTTCCCTTCGTCCCCACGGAGCCCCGGAGCATGGCCAAACTAAACACTCAGGATGACATACTAGCCCTCCAAAAAGACCGGCCACACAAACTCAAAGACTACCTGAGAAGCTGTGTGAAAAGGGATGACAGTGATATGTTTTTTACTTTTAGTTGGACACCTTTAAAAAAAGTTATTGCACAAGTTGCTGTTTGGCAGGAAATCAGTGTTTCACCTTAAAAGACTTCACTCTGATCACTGAGATGGTCTTGCATATATAAAAGTTAAAAAAGGAACATTAATAGTTATCGACATGTATGAAAAATGTTTAAAAACCTTGAGTGCCTTGAACTTTGTTTGTTTCCAAATGTATCTCCAGGTACCTTGTCCTAGAGCACGTGTCTGGGGGTGAACTGTTTGACTACTTGGTGAAGAAAGGAAGGTTAACACCTAAAGAGGCTCGGAAATTTTTCAGACAAATCATGTCTGCCCTGGATTTTTGCCACAGTCATTCCATATGGTAAGTAGTTGACTCTGTGTAAAATAAAAAGACAAATTATGTGGATTTAGTGAAGATCTTCAAACGTACAAAATTATCATATGCATTTTTCTTTACCAAAAAAAAAATTGCAGGTATTTGTTCATATAACGAGGACACAAAAAACATTGAAGTTCATTAATTATTTTAATTGAATTTAGCAAAATTACAACAGTAAATGTGATAATCAATGAGAAGATTTGTAATGAGTTTTAACAACAGTATAAACTAGAATTCATTTGATGCCTGTTGGGTCGTATAAGGCCCATTTGTCACCTCTAATCCATAAAAATCTCACATTTGAAGCAAAAAACAACCAATAAATAATCTTACGCAGGGGGCAGAACATAGTTAATTTAGTTATCACGCACCGTTGAATACATAATGAGCTCTCCCTGAAGGTATATAGATTATTTCTATTGTATTGGGATGTTTATTATGTGAAGTGCCTTGAGACGACGCTTGCCGTGATTTGGCGCTATATAAATAAACATGAATAGAATTGAATAGATTATTTCTCGAAAGAAATGCATATCTGTAGATTTGTTCAGACGTTCAGATCGTGCGTTAGCTTTACAGACCAGATTTGATCCTGAAAACAAAAAGCTTGGAACACAAAACATACGTGCATGTTTAAACATTTTCATTCATCCTGTAAGAGACTCAACATTTCTCTTCATAAAGCTGGCAAAACTATCAGGATTAGTGAGAAATGATGCTTGATCATTTGATCCCACTGCAGATGATACTGTGTTTTTCCATCACATAGCACTTTTTGTTGGAGGCGCTCTAATCTGACACACTGTGTTCTGCCTCAGGGGGTAATTTAAATGTTTACCAGCTCATAGACCGCAGGCAATCATATATACTTCAAAAGTCAAACAAGTCAGCGGGGACTGAATTAGAGCACTGTTTGGTGTGTTTATTTTGTGTTTGTGTGTGTTTCGTGCATGCGTATTTGTGATCCAAGCTTCGGTAGACGTTGTTTCCCTCTCCAGAGATTGTGTGCATGGAAAACTGCTTAAAACTCTCTTAACTTGTAAAGCAAACACATACATGCATGCACACTGCACAAAAAGGACTTAGGTAAGAGACCAAAGTATGTGTCTAATTGCCGCACGTGATTCTGGTTAGTTTGATGCATAGATTACTGTCAAGGAAAATAAATGTTCTGTAAGTCCTCTAAACCCTTTAAAATATGCAGTTACCTAAAGCAGCAATCTAGAGTTTTTCCCCATTTAGGAATTATGCACGAGTCTTTAGAAAGCTGTAAAAGTGGTATTCTTACCCGGTTCTGTGATACAATGAAGGTCATGTGTCAGTTTTTCTTTTTTCTCGGCCCCCCTCATGTAGAGCACCACTCAACCTTAGCCGTTAGCGTTATTAGACATGCGCTTACGTGCAGATGTCAGTCACGGAGCATGGACTCTTGTTTGTGAAGTACGTAGACTGATTCAGAGTCTGACATTTTTTATGGATGAGTATATATCTAATTAGCACTGTAAATGTTCATGAAATGTTCTCCTCTCATTTATTATTGAAATGTGTGTGTTCTTTGTTGTAACGATGATTCTCTGCAACAACTTTCATGTTGCTTGGAAGCCTGATGAGACACATTTAAGAGGTGTAACTTGTAGGCTGGTGCGTGAAATGTGAGTAGGTCCCCAAAAAATATCAATGACCAGCTTGAATGGACTCTTATTTAGAGTTGCTTGGTGGATTGGATGATTGGGAAAAACCAACAAATTGGTTATTTTTACACTTTATTCATTTTACACTGTCAGGAGCTTCAGTGGTGGGTGGAAGATTCCCACGCAGCCACAACATCGTGGCTCCTCCCCCTCATGCTGGTCACCAGTCTGGTTTAAGCTGCTGTTGCATTCCTCAACCATGTCCAAAAGCATGCAATAACACATTATTGTAATGGTGCACTAAAACATTTTATAAATGAACATTAAGTGGGTCAAATAACAAAAGATAATATAATATTGCTCATTTTAAACGTGTTTGCACATGGCTGGTTACCCTGCATTTAGGTCTATTTTGGTTTTGGGTGACTGATTCCTCCTGTAATTCTAGGAGAAAGGTAAAGCTGTTCCGTCTAAAGGAATGATAACGGGACAAGTCTCTTCTCAGCCTGTGCACATAATGCTCAATAATAACCAAGAATAGCAGATTAAACCAATTAGACGACCACCTTTGGGACTGGCAGTGAGTGTATGCACACACAGATTATAACAGCTCTTTTAGTACTAACAGTCAAGAGCATGTTTATCTCTCCTGTTTTACTTCGGTGCAGTCCTCTGGTCTAAGCTCTTCAAATCCCTTCGCTAACACTCTTAGAAAATGATGCCTTGTAAATGTATCATGAGGAGGGTTATTTGGTGCACCCACTCGTCCTCCTCCCTACTTCAATCAAGAGCAGACAGACAGACAGAAACAACCCTTCTCACCTTCATTCCATCCCAAATAATGAGATCCCAGCACCCCCTGAAAAACAAAAACAAGACGTTCAGCAATCACAACTTCTATTTCTAAACGCTTGCAGTGGGAACCCACATAGATTATTAAAAGTGTGCCTCTTTTTCTGTGACTCACCATGCAGGGTGAGGCACGATGGTGGGAGCGGTGCGGCACATGCTTCCCAACCATTCTTTTTTGCTTGCCTCCCATTTTAATCCCTCTTATTGCTTCATGCTTCCGTCCTCCGCCTACGTCCTCTCCACAAAGTTGTCTCATGGGCCAGAAGGATTCAAATCTGTCTATGACTGAAAAAGATGGCAGAAAGAAAGAGATGCAATGACTCAGTGTTTCATTTGCCTGATTTAGGCTGTGAGCTGATTCAGAGACATTGTCTTTTCACACAGAGGGAGAGAAAATGACAAAATACTGACATGGGAAATGATCTGTCCAGATAAAAAAAACATCAAGTTCGGAGGCACAGGAAATTACCTTTAAGAGGCCTTTTTGGTGGAAATGAAGACATGCAGTGCTGCAAACAAGATGCGTACAGATGTCTAATTTAGTAAAAAGTGATGGGTGAATATTTTTAGAAGCACAGCAGTGAAGTTGTTCTGTTATCTCGCAGTCACTCCAGTGCTCTTCTGGCAGCGCGTTTGTTTATTCTGCCTTAGAGGTCTGTTGCTCATCCCATCATCGCCTGTCAAACTCTTCAGGATTAAGACAAAATGCAAGGTTGCACACAATGATTTGGAATAGAAAAACAAACTTTTTTTTTTTTCCAAGTCTAGTCACTATTCCGATTTCACTTTTTAGTCACTGGATTACATGCAGTGATGCATCAGTGACGCAGCGTTCTTCAGAGACGTTGATCAAATCAAACCTGGAAAGATTTCTCTGCCAGCGACCTCAAAGGTCAATCTTTAATTTAAAACAATACTTGTTTTTGTTCCTGTCATTAGTAGTTTTGTATGTTTGGAGTAGAAGCAGATTCACTGCAGAAATCTAAAAATTAAATATAATTTATCCGTTTTTATGGGTTCATGAACAACTGTTATCATTTTTCTTCTGGTAATAATTATCCCTTTATAGGGCACTCGTTGAAGTATTTAGATTTTAAATATTTCAACCCCAAGGTGTTATTGTAGTCTATAATCAAAGTGTATTTCTGTTGTTACAATTTTAAAAATGTTTATTTTCATGCAGAAAATCGGAGAAAAGGAAGTGAACAAATATGGATGACGGCCCTGTTCTGGTAAAAGAAATCCTCAAATAAAAAACACGAACAATATAGATTAATGTAAGACACTTTAGAATAACCTAGCTAATTTTAGAACACTATATCACTGTTCAAAATACAGATTACATCACAATTATTAAATAATATAGAATATTTTTATTAAAACAGATAAATGTGGAATATTTTTGAAAAGTTATTGAGCAATAGATATTATTTCTGATCAAATTTAGATTATTATAAAATATTAGAATATTTTATATTTGAGGATCTGCCTTTGTCATCTGCCTCCTGTTCATCATCATCATCATCACTGATGTGGGATTGGTTGGCACAATAACAGTCCTCCTTCATTTTTCATTGAAATCTTAGTTTAAAACTGATAAATATATTCAATATTATAATTGTTGTTATTACTGTTACCATGATTATTACAATTATGTCTAAGAAACAACATATTTTACCTAAAATATTCATAATTTCTTTCACTTGTTCAGGGCGTATGTTCAAATATGGCAGGTTTGATTTTCATGCTAAGATTTCACCAACTTCATTGAGTTTAACATTTACAGCACATATATCCTTAATTAGTGCCTTGTAGCTAGAAGGTCCTGGGTTCGCCTCCCGGCCTGGGATCTTAGGGAGCAGCAGTAGCTCAACAGGTTCAGCGGGTTGTCCAGTAATCGGAAGGTTGCAGGTTCGATCCTGGCTCTGGACAGAGAATTCTGCTGTTATGTCTTTGGGCAAGACACTTAACCCACCTTGCCTGCTGGTGGTGGTCGAAGGGTCCGGTGGCGCCTGTGCTTGGCAGCCTCGCCTCTGTCAGCGCGCCCCAGGGCAGCTGTGGCTACATCGTAGCTCATCACCATCAGTGTGTGAATGTGTGTGTGAATGGATGAATGATACACTGTAGTGTAAAGCGCTTTGGAGTCCTTACTCTGAGAGGCGCTATACAAGTGCGGGTCATTTATCATTTATCTTTCTGCATGGTGTTTGCATGTTCTCCCTGTGCATGCGTGGGCTCTCTCCGGGTACTCTGGCTTCCTCCCACTGTCCAAAAACATGACTGTTAGGTTAATTGGTTTGTCTAAATTGTCCTTAGGCGTGAGTGTGTGTGTGCATGATTGTTTGTCCTGTGTGTCTCTGTGTTGCCCTGAGATGGACTGGCTCTCTGTCCAGGGTGTACCCCACCTGATTGCCCGTTGGCCACTGGAGATAGGCACCAGACCCCACGTGGACAAGCGAGCTCAGAAAATGGATGGATGGATATCCTTATCTAGCACAA